CTATACGATTATAGGTACAATGCCGTCGATTGCACCACGCACTTGAAGTAGGCGTGATAGATTTGTGGGCTCTTCTCGAAGATGGTTCCGGGCCCTCGCACCTCTCGCATAGCTGGTCACGTCTCATTTCCTCAAAGGCAAACCCCGGGATTAGCCCGACTAGTAGGAAGGATACCGCGAGGGAAATTGTAAGGTCCGTACCTACCTAGATCACTCCAGCTTCGCGCAAAAATTGCGCGGTTAGGGCGCTAATCCTTACGGGCCTGCAACCATCGACCCCCGTTGCAACGCTTCCCACCCACCTCGATAGATCAGCGTGCTCTCTCGAACGGCGTGATCTCTCGCGTGTTTTGTCTTCTTTGATCGCCCTGTCTCGCCATCGTACCACATCCGACCTTATTGAAGGTTAAGGCCTTAATTTCAGCGTTCCCAAAGATTTCTCTTGCTTTCCTTTCCACTTTCAGGTCGTCCGCAGCTCAGTCATCACTACGAAGCGCTTTACCACCAGTTTTATCCTGGGGCTTGCCTTCAACCGTTAAACATCAAACTTCATCAAAGTCAGCCATTTAGTCCCATTTTGTTCGGAAAGGCGATTTAATCGTCTACACGTAGGATTTCGCCGCAGGTGATTGTTCAGATCAATGCATTCAAGCAAATTCACAACCGCGGAAAGGTGTGAAATGGGTATTCATGGATTGTTCAAAGGGATATATCACAATTGAACCCTCTAAGCCTTGTCTTTCGCCAGATTTGACCCCGGACAGAATAATGCGACAGGTAGCAATGATCAATGCTCCCATGTATCATTCGTAAAATTGAAGACAGAAAAGGAAGGCCGTAGATAGAAGCTGGGTCAGATTGCGGTGTTTTGATCGTTCTTCTGACCACGTGCACCGTCTCTTCGCCCGTTTTATCGCTCATATCGCTACTGACTGTGTACGTGCCTCCTCGCACTCACATCACCTTAATGCTTTCAGATGGACACTGTCGTGGAACTCGAACGGCAACGCGTCTGTCGTGTGATGAGCGGAAGGAAAGGGCGATTTACGGTAGTTTTACATAACCCAGGTGATCATGTAACAATATCGTCGTCATCGTTTTATTTGAAAAATGTGTTGAAATTTACAGGTGGAGAATCTGAATCACGTGCGTTGTGCCATCATTTCGGATAATGAAAATCTTGGCCTTTTGGAAAAGGCCACGACGTCCGTCCACTACGATGACAACTCGAAAACGGTGAGTGTCTTTGTCTAGAGCCACGAAAGTTCTAATGCACCCGTATATTCAAATATTTTCGGCATGAATGATCAAGTATTTGGGAGGTCAGGGACTGCGCCATGTACTTGTACTTTCGAAATTTTCACAGTGAAGTATAAGCTTGAATTGCGGCCTGATACTGCAATGATAATCAAGCTATGCCTAGTTCACTCGAACCTTAGCGTGTTTGTTTTCGACCTTGCTTCATTTCTCAAGATCTTTGTTAAGAATCTAGAATAGATTCTGCAATTGTGGAACAGTATGCAAAAATGAGGCGCCGTTGATTTGAGCGCTTCCTCCTCTTCCCCCCCCCCCTCCTTCCTGCTAACAACTTGCTACGGGTAATGATGATGACGGACTGGAAGGATTGGCTCAAGCGGATAGCTTTGGTAGTGCTTATTCTGCAGTACATGGCCAGCTATCCACAAGATGAACCGGCTGAAGTATTTCCTTTTGAAGGAAAACCCCGAGGGCAAAACTAGTTTATCAGACCGCTTCGTAATGATGCCTGAGCTGCGAAATGAACTGAAAGTGAGAAGAGCAAGAGAAATCGTGAGAACGCTGAAACTTAAGGCCTTAACCTTCAGTAAGGTCGGATGTGGTACGATGGCGAGACAGGGCGATCAAAGAAGACAAAATACGCGAGAGAGCACGCTCGTTCGAGAGAGCACGCTGATCTCCCCATCAAAAGCGGTGGGTGGGAAGCGTTGCAATAGAGCTCGATAGTTGCAGCCTTAAGCGCCTTAAGCGCGCATTTTGTGCGACATAGCTGGCATGATCTATGAGGTACGGACCCCACAATTTCCCTCGTGGCGGTAATGGTTGGTATTTTGGATAAGTAGTCTACTTGCTCCAGTACTCCAGTACGTTGTACCCATAGTTTCAGCTTCCCTCTGAGCTATTTCCATCTCTTTCTGCCATGCATATGTTGTTGATAAGCAGTCATATTGTTATACTCTTATCACTTAATCGTCTGTGATGTAACAGCTGTAGTGACCAGTCACAGGTGACTATGTTGTGCTGATAGAAGTGTAAACTGGTAATGTGTTGGGTTTCGCAGGACATGTCCACCTGTCTTCAGTCAACAATAGCATCAATCAGTCGCTCTATGCATTACCTATGATGTTTATAAGCTTTCTTATTTACCGGGTCTAACCGAAAGTAAGCCCTAAATCCCCGAAGGAGACCGAAAGGGTCGGAATCTATGCGTGATCAATCCCTATGGGATGCGCCATGCATTCAGATCATGCTATCTATTACATATGACTCACAATGATAAGTCAAGTCTAAAAAAGGTTTCATGGCAACGAATCATTCTCTAATTCGTACAGCAGAATGCATTTCTTTCTTTGACGCTTGACTGGGTTTTCCAAAACGTCGTTAAATTCCAACCACTCCCATGGTGACGTTAATTCTTCACTTCACATAGCCACATGAGCATTTGTTTTCTAGTGCTTGAACAGCTTTTCCAAAGCATCAATTCAAAGCCTCGATTTCGACCACATTCTCCGTTCTTCCAATATTTTCGTTTTATTAGAACCACGTGTACTGTTACAACTTTTTTTCTAGCATTGATAAAACATGAGTGAAATAATGTACTGAAACAAACAAATATAGGCGATGGCCAGGCTGACGTTGAACATGAAAGAGACGCAGAAGAAGAGCCTCGAGGCCAACTATATGATGGATGTTGTTGAGGTACTGTCAACGTAATGCCTTCTAGGTTCTTCGATGTTCATTTTTGAAACCTAGCTGATTTGGTACACTATTTTGTCCCTACTCCATAAAGTACCATCGACACTCTGATCTGCATAACTTGCCGACTCTTCTACTTCACCTCACGTCACATTTTCGCTCAAGCACTTACGACAAAATCACTGCTTTAAAGCAGATCAAGTCGTTATAGAAAGGTTGCTAGTGTCTTTAGCATTGGACTCAAATAGACTGAAGTTATAACTATATTTCAGATAGACTCACAAGATTGGATCTGCCCAGTGATTCTGCTCGCATACCGTACTCCAAACATCGGACCTATGCCGTATGAAGTTATGAAGCAGTTGAAGGAATTATCAAAGAACTCGAAAGTTTTTAGATGTATGGAATCTACTGGTCTGGGAAGGGTGCGTTTTTGTCTATCAACAGTCTTACATCATTTGGTCAAGCAACGGTGACAGTTGGGAGTGCGGTCGCCGCGACGTGAAGGACAACATTGCCATTATATATGTCTACCTCATGCCATTACATCTATCCTGACAAATACTTACTTAAAGGAGGTATGAAAAGCATAAAGCATTTGCCGTTTGATCAGTCCATATTTTGAGAATGCGGCACGCATTCCACTTCCATTTGTAAATTCTTAGTGGCGTTGAATGCGATTGGGCCTGTACAATGACCTTGTGGGAGGCCATTCGATATACAAGCACTATCTTTATCTCCCAGACAAGTTGTACCAATAACCAGCCCAGCAGTATGAAGCTTTTGCCCGGGCGTGAGCACGACCCAAGGATGTGACACCCGAACCGCCACGCTGGCAATCGTGCCATTTCACATCATACACCACTTCCTTCTGAAATGTTGAATAAAAGGGAGCGGAACCAGGGTGCAGCTATTACAAAACGACGGCTGTTCCACCAGGAACTATAAGACATATAACAGGCACCTCATCGCCTACGAGCTAATCTCAACGAGTAAGCGCCATTACTACTGGAGAACTCGCGCTGTGATTGGCTGTTGCTGAGAAATCGCCGCCTTCGGCAAGAGAGGGATAAAGAGGGAGATGAGCCCAGAGCAACGCGTCCACGTCGATGACCTGATCTACCATTCGAATCTCGTTTAGAGCTGAAATCAACTAGAAACGCATTGGTCCTATTTCGCGATTCGTTTCGAGCCGTTTCCTACTTGATTTCCTGATTTGTGCACCCTTTCATCTCTAATGAGCAAAGACATTTTGAAACATCTGCCTTTCAAATTTCACGACAACTCCTCCATACATAAGTGGACTGCGGGACATTCTCAAATACAATCAACCCACATAGTGCTTTTGAACTATGATTTGGCAAGATGCATAGGAGAACTCTACATTCTCGCTGCATTGCCAACAGGTTTTTCCAGACTCGTTGAATCCCAACTAGCTGGTTACAAATGAAAAGTTTGTGGCGCAGAACGAAATTTATTCTTGATCGAGGCTGATAAAGGATTCTTGCAACTAATCAGAAGCCATCGGAGTGATTTTCTTGGAACCTTTCCAGAAATTGCAAAATCTCTGGTCTTATCAAAATCAATTAGGCTTCACTTCCAGTCTCAGGATAAAGGATAGGGGACCAGAATTCGGCGTTGACCAAACCATTTTTGGGATCGGCCTTACATTCAGCCTTTTTCCACTGATCGGAGTTGAAATATAACCTATGCCATACAATCAATGAAGCCAGCCGTATACAAGCATCTGCTTTCTATCCTCCAACAGGTCTGACATCAATCATTCTGTCCTTGTTGAGATGTGCTGACTGATCAGCGTCGATCCAAGTTAACCCCCTATGCCTTGCGTAACACGGTCAAGACAAGTATAAAACTTATACGCTGCCCAAACCAAATAATTCTAGAACAAAGCCGAAAGTAGTAACGGTGAATAACGGTGAATCAGTAGGTCCCCTAGCCCAAGTTAATTTTAATCATAGCTTTTAAAATCCTTTAACATTACCTTAAATGTTTTGTAAAATCTTGAAAAATAATTTCTTTTTTTCAGACTCTTCTCCGACACTGCTTTGCGGTGGCACTCATGGCCGCTCGTCCTTTTCTGGCTACAACCAGAGCCGAGAACGACGTTTGTATCAAAGACGGGCTGGAAAAGCGACGGGAGAATCCGCCGCGCATGCCCTCCATGGAAGAGAAAATACCCAGTATCGAAACACTCCAAAATAAGTCTCCGTTCAGGAAGTCATGCAGAATTCAATAACCTTCGCTGTTTCTGTGGATACTGTCGCCTTTTGTGTGCTTTTGTCGGGTATTTGAGGTGCATGCACATTTTCTGAAAACCATTCATGCATCTGAATTATTTTATTATTGTCTTTTTGGTTGTAAATGAACTTTACATGAAGTCATCGACCCTTTTACTTCGAGAATATCTAAACAAATCGACAAATACGACAAACCATCTGAATGAGGAAGGCAAAATACGGAAAGCATCTTTATAAATAGTAAAACTCAGTGAGCTAAACAGCTTCACAATATAGCAACTAGTTCTACGTAGTAAATAGGGATGTCAGGAGTGACCATATCCAATTATTCTGGCCAGATGTTTATTGTGACGAAGACCTTCCACGTATCTCAGCGCTGTGCTTCTCGCTATCGACTGTAGAGACGGTACTCCACTGAAAAAAAAGTTGTAGAGCTATAGGTCAAGAAATTAAGAACATCTTTACCGCCACTTTCGAGCAGGGTTCGCCTTCGACAAGGTGCTGGCTCTTTGCTAGGGGGTTTCGTAAAAGCATGTGGAAGCTATTAGCACTACAAACTGAATTCAGTAGCAGGAAAAAGCACGGCGTCATGGGAAATCTCCTTCATATGACCTCCCTACCCACGTCCTCTATCCATCCTTGCTACTCCAAAAAAATCCATTGACCGTAGTTTGGTACACTATATGATGTGCAACTGTATAGGCAAGTCCCGGGATAAAATAGGTGTGAGAGCGTTTGGTAATGAAAATGGCTTGAAAACTGGCTCCATTTGCTTTAGTGCCAATGACGAACCGCAATGCAACCGCTGCCGCAACTGTGCCCGCGAATGTCTCCCAGCATCACGTGGCAGCCGACAGCGGTAGGCGGGAGTCGCGAACGAGGGCGTGTTTTGCGGGACGGGCGAGCTTTTACCGCCTTTGCCGCGCACTTTCAAAACGTGGAAGGGGCGAAATGTCAACGCTTGTCTGCCCGTCTACTAGCATGGGGAATGAAATAGTGGAGCTTGCATAATCTCGGGCCGTGTCTTTTACAGGGTAAAAATTCTCTGAATAGTCTCTTAAACTCCTTGAGAACTTCTCATAATTTCGAAAATACAACTAACCCATTTCTAAGTTGACCCCTCTGTCCTGAACCCTTTTAAAACTGATTGATACCATTACAGCACCTACTAGTAACGTACTAGCAGTGTTTGACCCAACTCGTCGTTCTTCAGTGAGCTAACCAAATGTGGAAGCTTCTTTACTATTAGGACTCTTCTTTACACAGAATATACTTAATTAAAACCTTCGAAAAGTGATCGGATAAGATAAAGCAACTTACCAATGACTCATCACGGCAAATGACACGCCATCTTCACGGAAATGGCCTTCAAGATGTTTCTCGACATTGAGCACCAGAGCATTCCCGTCTTCGCGGACGTCAATCAGCACCATGGTGTCCGTGATCCCCTGCCCGATCTCGTGCCACCTGAATGAAGTTGCCTCTCACTTTCATGAGAATAGCGCTGAGTTGAAATTAGTTTTGAAAAAATTAGTAGAGCACGTGTGCTTCGTACTCTATCTGATGGACTTGGATGTTGAAAGACCCACCTGTTGTCCTCCTTCAAATAAACCTTGGCCGAGTTGTCGAAGCGCTTTTTCCGTCGTCATCCAAACCCTGTTATTCCTATGAATCGTTCGGACAAGACGGACAGGGTGATTTGGGTCATCAAAGAAAGACTTCAGTCGCTCATCGGCTAGCGTTATCCAGGAGACCTTCAAAAACCTCTTGATTTGTTAGCAGTTCAGCGAACACCATTCAACCCCAAAATCTCAAATTTCTCAATTTTTCTAAGAATCGCGCCTGTAGTGGTAATTCAATGCCCTGGGGCGGTAGTAAAGTACCCAAAGTACTAAAACTAGCAACCAATTGGTAATTTCCCCCCCCATTGGCGAGGAATAAGGAGCGTGGAAACATGGACATGACCCTACTTGAAACCGCCAGCCTCGCCACACTACCTGCAAAACTTGCGCCACTCTCGGACTTGAACCCTGGATGATAGGCTCATAGCCGGTTTTTGCCAGTGCACCAGGGATCACTCGACACAGCATGGAAAAGATGTTGACAACAGGTAGCCACGGCTGTTGTTTGCAAATCTTGGACTTCACGCGGTGTTGATCCAGCATTCTTGCCAGCGGCAGCGTGGAACGTTCCCATTGGCATTGGAACGGCATTGATAATTCGCCATGGTGCAAGTGGTGAGCATCCCCTACGTTACCCGCAAGACTTGCGTCACATATAGCCTTTGGTGCAACGCCTCATGAGCGGCATTGCTTACGCCGCCTAGCCTATTCCTACTTGACGGAAAAGGGTTTGCATAGTTGAGGAATTGCGGGGGACGCAGGAAGGCAGCCATTTCACAGTGTTGGTTCCCGACCTATAATATCAACAAAGAGCGAGTGCGCTGCACCATTGAACCATCTACGCATTCGGCTCCATTTCTCCCTTTCCACCTTCGAATGTTGCCACATACAAAAAATTCCTCTGGGAGAACGTTCTATAACGATGAACACATTTCAAGTGCGGCATCCTGCGTCTTCAACCTCCGCCGTCAGTTTATTCGGACTTTTCCTATGGCGCCATACGTTGCATAGTTTGAGGACGAATCAAACGCTTGAAGCACCCTTCATAATTAAGTAGAGATGGTGCGGTGCATAACGAAGAACAGAGAAATGGGAGGCAACAGTGGCCCGATAATGGACCCTTCTTGGCCCGTTGACTCCCACCAGCATCGATGCGACTCTCATCTTTTTGGCCCTCTCTCCTAACCTCGCTCTCCTGCCTAATCACTCGCCGCGTATAGACCTGCTGCGAGCGACTAGACAGTCGGTGGGCGTACACCGGCCAACCGCGCCAAGATTGAGCTGTGCTGCAGCGCCGAGATCGTCAATCTTTCCTGCCAATTGCGTGTTGGTCAGTACTCTCAGGGGGTCCGCCTGTATCCCAACTAGGCCATTTCCCCCTTCTTCGACATTCATTCTTATCGTGCATTCGTCCTTTAAATGGCCGCGCTGTCAATCCTCTCACAGTCAGCCACTTGATGGGATCACCCCTACTTTCGAGTGAGTTTCGAACCACCTTCGCAGGTACGACAAGGGAATTTCGGAAAGGGTTCCAGAGGCTCTGTACACTGCTCTTCGGATAGAACTTCTCCGAAAGTCACTTGCTGCTAGTTTACCATGTGACCATAAGTTACGACATGGTAACTAGCAGCTAAGGGTACATAACTACCGTCCCTGATCACGAGGCGACATTTATTCTTGGTTTCTGTGCCGATTGACATCGATTCGGCGCAACTGAGCACAAAATTGACGTCAAACTGGTGTCCGCACCAAAAATGAAATGCCACATTCATGATCAGCGCACTAAAATACCGCTAAAGACTATCTTTCAGTTGAAATGGACCATTTGAGGGTCCCACTGGTGGCCATGAGACCTAGGGCCAATGGGGGTAATTAAACCTAGAAAAAATTCTAGAAAAAAATTCACTTCACGGGTGTCCAGATCCACTGATACGAGCATACCAGAAAACTCGTCTTCTTCAAACTCGTCGGCGACTGAGTGAAAGCAGTACAGCATGCGATCTTCCTGCCAAGGTTCACTGCGAGACCAAGGACCGCTGTCGCATTCCACATCTGAAGTAAGACAATTAAAACAAAAACAATAATTAACTGAATCTTGGAGTCCAAATCCATACGAATTCTATACATATGATGTGCGTAATTTGTAATATTACATGTATAATACTCACTCCAGAATAATCAGTTAATAGGCTTGTTGAGATTTACACTTTACTTCAATTGATGGGCTTGAACCCTCACCAACAGGGTGAATATCGTCGAGGATTCCTCAACGGCACGTCGAGGATTTTCGCCTGATCAGTTACGCTCTCCCGCGCGGACATTCACACTCGCCATGCGCGAGCCGTCTGTGCTCTCCGCGCGTACGTTCACTCTCGGCACTACTCTCGCACAGTACAGAGCCATGGTCGAGGACAGAGGTAATAATGGTCGAGGAATTCCTCGACCGCCAGGCAAGGTCATTAAAGGCAGCGATTACGATAGATCTCAAGGGGTTTAGAGGGGACGTGGGGTCTCAATAGTACGCCAATGGCGAAAAAAGCAAAGAAATCCGTCAAAAATAAGCAAAATAGTACCCCTTTGATTGCCCGTTTCATTTTCGACCATGGATGAGCGGCGACAAAGAAGAAGTTGTTCGGACGTGTTAACCCCGATAGCCGCCATCATGCCAACAAGCATAGTGTTTTGATTGATAAGGCATTACATGGGCAAGTTGGAAGATACAGCCGCTAGAAGGGAAATGATCATCCAAAATGAAAAGCCAACAGCAAACAGCTCGCCCAAGTCACCATTGAACTAGTGGGCGTAACGCTGCTGGG